GGTATTAAAAATACTTGTAGCATACCTTCCAGCATCACAGCAACACTGAAGTCACCACAGTACGACAGACTGACAGATGAGTCAATTAACTTAAAAACAATTATGTCATTGTTCATTCTATCTTTCTTAATGTGGGCAAACATACATACATAATAACATCTTCTCCCCAACCTCTTTTCCTAGATACATGATGGAAAACCTTCATGCCCATGGTTGAGTTCATCCTTATTTCTTTTGACAGCTAAATAATACTCCATAACTTAGTACTCTACTGTTTCCTTCTTTAAAAAAATTTGCCAAAGAAACCATGAAAGAATAGCCATAATAGTTTCTCAAAATTTTTGTTGTGAAGGTTTACAGAGAAGATCATCAGCTTTACATTTTAAAAAAATCATATAGTTTGTTTCACTACAATGATTGTAATCCCCTCCATCAGTTGCCAGTATTTACCTCTATTTTCTTTAACTCTTGCATTCCTCCCTCTGTCTCTTCCGCTAGCTTCATCTTTTTTCTGCCCACCTCCCCCTTGTTGTATAGTGCCTGCCCTGTCACCCATGTTAAGATGTGTCTACCATCCATGAATAATTCCTTCCGCTCCTCCACCCCTAGGTAACTGTCTTAGAATGTTTCATTTACAGTGGTCTCATACAATATCTGTTCTTTTATGATTGACTAATTTCACTCTGCAGGAGAAAGATGAGGCTTTCTGCTCCCACAAATATTTACAGCCTCAGAAACCCTATACAGGGTCACTATGAGCCTGAACTGACTCAATGGCACTTAACAACAGAGACTTCACTGCACATGTTATGTTCATCTATGTTATTAGGTGTTTTGCTGATTTGTCATTATTCTTCAATGCTGCATAATAGTCTATTGTGTATATGTACCCAAGTTTAACCATTCTTACATTGATGAACATTTAGGCTGTCTCCATCTTTTTGCTATTGTAAACAGTGCTGCAATGAACTTGGCTGTGTATATATCTAGTCATATCAAAGCTCTTAATTTCTTGAGGATATGTATCTTCAAGTAGAGGGCTTACTGAGCCATACAACATTTCTTTTTCTAACTTTTTGAGAAAATGCCATATTGTTTTCCAGTGATTCCACCAGCAGTATACAAGTTTCCCAGTCTCTCCACACACTTACCAGCATTTGTTTTTTCTGTTTCTTTTAACTATGTGTCTTAGGCTAGGTTTTATGAAGAAGCAAAACCAGTGAAACATATATGTGTAGATATATGTATATCTATAAAGAGAAGTTTGTTATTAAGGAAATGGGTTACAATGATAGAGTCCCAGGTCCCCAGCAGAAGAGAGAGCAAGTCTTTCCTGTATGTCCACTGTATTGGGAGAAGGCCACAGCCCAAAGTAAACATCTTTTCAATTGATTGGCTGCTCTTAGTCACTTATCATAGAGTTAACTATGCCTGTATTAGGTTTCAGTACCATGGGAATAAATACATCTTAGGTGTTAAACCATGGAAATCCTGTCCTATTCACGTTGACACAGAACCCTATTGTAGTCCACCTTTGCCAATGTGACAACTATAAACTATATGCATAATCTCTAAATAACAAAAATTCTAAGGTCATACTTTCACCTAATATGATAAAGCATGTACAACTGAAAACACACTAGCCTCATATACATTTCATATGTTACAAATGAACAAAGCAAAACTATTTGATGCACACATACAAAATAAAACAAAACAAAATATATATTCATTTAAATGTTCAAAAGGCACATTCTGCAAGTTAGCCTTCTGCCCGTAGGCACACAATGTTACTCAGTCATAGCTGCTCTGTCTTCCCATGGCACCACCTCTGCTGTTGTCTCTGCTGTCATTGCTTTTCCAC